ATAATTTGCACAAAAATGAGAGTCCTCCAGCTCGGTAGAATGCTCAATGTTCGTTCGAATAGAGCTATCTTAGACACGGCACAGAGCACCACGCATCGTTCGCTGTAACTAACAGTTTCATGCTCATAGGCAATGAAGTTGAAGACACCACTGCAGGCGTGTGTTTACCGCCATATTGCCAGGTGTGTCTTTACCACCATATGTATCAACTCATAGGCAATCATCAGACAACATCATTTGCACAAATCTGAGCCTGAGGCAAAAGAAAGCTGCTGAATCATCACAATTGCATGTAAAGAGTATGTCCTGTGCTTGGTCATTGGTTCGAGGGAAAGATGCAAACAGGTTTACCATTATAATATTTGAACTGACAGTTAGAAGAAGGATGCCTTTCGTATTCTTGAACAGCATTTCGAAAGTTTCCGTGAGTCTTCTTTCAAGCCTTCTCGCCAGGTCGAAGGCAGGCAAGGGCAAACGATCAAGGTCAATGACTAGGTATGGTAGAGAGTTGATGCCTCCGTGAAAACTTTCCAAACTTGTTGTTCCTGAACCCGACCTGTGTTCTTCTTCAAAGTATAGCAGCATTTTTTCTCTCAAGGAAACTTTTTCTTTTTTTCGAATATTTGAACTTGCGGCAATTGACGTTGATCAAGTTTTCCTGTGCGAGAAACCTGGCCTCGACGACAACAAGCTCAGCTGACTTTGGATGCCTGTTGAATCGCTTGCTCACTAAAAAATACCCCTTTCACACCACCACATACCCATTATGCACAACCCGAAATGACAGTTTACACCGGACGTACAATAGCGTTTGAGAGAGTACTGCCCCTTCCTCATCCCAGCTCGCACAGACGCAATTTGGCGATACACTGCTCTATCTGCCCTTGCCATGCCATTGCTTGTTGACAGCACCACAAAAAGCCTCGCCATCACTATGCTCCCACTATGCAATTTTTGCCTTTGCCTGTGAGCTGTGATGATTGTAAAAAAATTTAAATAAAAACATCACTGCAGGTCAAATTACATAACTGAAGATGTGTTCACAACTGGCGCGTGTACGCGTGAAACCACACGTTTGTGCATATTTTGCTGCTTTTGGGGCGCCATGCGTACGAAAACGCACCGAAATGGAAATTCCAACATGTTGGAATTTTCAGCATGTATCAGGCGGGTACCAGCGTATATGTCAGTCGCTTTGACTGGCGGGGTAAAAAAATTAGTACTCGAAGGCGTCGCACGCCCTAAATGCGACTCGGATTGCTTTTTTTTGTGAAAGCCTGTGGGCGCGTTTGGGCACGCATGAGCCGCAAGCGTACCGCGTCCATGCGCCAATTGGGAACACAGCTTTACTTTGCTTTACATATATTGTGAACGCGAGTTGCTAGGTTTTCCACCGTAACTTCACTTCTATTTCATCATTTGTTTTGATGGCTCATCGCAAAAACACCTGGAGAAAAGGAGTGCAATGAACCAGACCTTATCCAGATTACCCCCTGTTGCCCGCCACCGTCCTCTCGATGAACACAACTGCAACTCTAATCGTGGAACATGGCTAGTGTTGCCATTCATGGATCTGCGTTTCTGATTGTACGATTGTAACTGCTGTACCAAGTACCTGGCGTGCACGGCTAAAGAATGATGTCATGCATGTGTACGGAGCAGAAGTGCCATAGGCATACACCGTAAAATCCCGGCAGAGTGCCCCGTCTCTCCCATCCGTCCCTCCCTGACTTCTTGTCACAGAAGTGAGAATCCTCGTATGACTCTGTGAAGTGTGATGCCGTACCACACTGCAGACGCGTGCTCGACCCGGTTGGAAATGTACGCAACAGTTCCCACCCTCTTGACCAGGGATTGCACAAACCCTGGGTTTTGATAGGTCTGTACGACTCCCTGCTCTTGGCCTTTGGTCGATGAACGAGACACACACACACACAGTTTGCGTAGGTTGAGTACTTTTTCATGTACATGTAGTACCAGATGTGGCAAGTAGGACTCGCCCATCCTACTCTCCCTACCTGGACCTAGTCGAAGGGTGGCGGAGGTAGTGGCGCTCTGGCGGGATTTACCGGTACATGCACCGAACAATTAAATCATTTTCTACACAAGCCGGTTTTGTTTAGAAGACTGTTGTGATTAAGAGCCTGATTTTCAAGATCTACTCACCTCCCACCGCTTTAGAAGCTGCATCTGTGCCTTGATCCTAGAAGGGTGGTGGCGTTCCTACGGATGCGGAAACTTGGCCTCTAGCCGAGACTGACGTGAACCGTGAATTTTTTTCAAGATTGACTGGCTGTCTGTACATAAGTCTGGTGTTTGTGCCGGTATGCCCGGTGATAGCTGCTTTGAACACGTGTTCCTGTTAGCCTTGATGATGCAGGGGCGTCGCACACGGTACGGTCACGACGATATTGACCGTATCACTACTGTGAAGTGGGAAACTTTCGCTAGATATTAAATTTCGCTATTTTCGCAACCATCACACATTCGCGAATATAAATCGCCGCAAACCTCTCCATACATTGATTGTAGACAGTACAAGATCCGGCTGAGGAGATATAATTGCAAAAGTTTCTCATCGTGAACCAGCCCAATTTATGAAAACGCTAAATTTGCGCGCCGCGAAAGTTTGTCGCTTTACAGTATTTGCCCCAAGTACCCTGTGATTCAATAAAATGCACTGATTTGGGCTCTAGATTTCAAAAAATTCGGCTCAGCCACCCCTCCCCTACGAGTAAATTGTACTTCAGATGGCTGACCGTACCACACTAAATTGCCTTCCGACACCCCTGTGATGCGAGCTCCCATGTAGGGAACCATGCACACTTTCTCAATTATCGGCTGAAGTCGCTAAAACTCTGTGTTCATACTGGTTTGATTACATGCCTGATTTGACCAGCAGCCTAGCACTGAAGGGCCAATAACTGGCAAAAACAGCAGCAACAACAACAACACAAACATGTACGGTGGCTCTGGCTGCTCTGGCTTACAGGGCTCTCAGAACTGACATGTGTTGTCAGTGTCCTCACTATCTACTATAGGTTATCACAATTAAAATAATTCACACAAAAAATGAGTGTCAGCATACACACATACCGTACTCACTTGATTAGAAGCCCCTCTTGAATAATAGCCCCCCTACAAGGACTGTTTGAAAAAATACAATCCCCTCTTGAATAGAAGCCCGGACTACTATTCGCAAAGCATGGAGTGACCAGGTAGTGCCATGTATGAAGGTCAAGTGTGCCAAAAACACCCCGTGCATGTTCATATTGGTACATGTCCTGGTCGACGTAGTGTGTGGAAACAAACTCGGGGACGAGTTGCTGTGAATATGAAAGTTTTAGAGATTCGATTGGAATACTGGCATGGAATGAAACAATAAAAGCCCCTCTCGAATAGAAGCCCCTCTTGAATAGAAGCCCCTCTTGGATAGAAGCCTCCTCAAAATTGGTATTGAAAAAACAGAAGCCCCCGGCTTCCAATCGAGTGAGTACGGCAACAGTCATTTCTATAATACTAATTATACCGCTTGCATGGTTTTATTCTTATACATTTCCTCATATAATATCGAAAGAAAAGGTGTCAGCACCGACGCAATCTTCGCAGTCAAGTAAGCCAATTTTGTAACCGAACTTTTCGTTCCCTTCTCATCATGGGTAAGTACAGGGAATAATGACATAATGACAACATCAGCGAGGAGAAGCATTCCTGACACTTTGACGAGGATTAGCGCCAAACAACTGAAGTGACAAACATTATCCTTCTGAACACATAGTTCAGGGGACAACTTACGAATATAACGCTTCCAAAACAGACAAATAAAATACAGATCTGCCATGGGCCAAAACTGAGAAAACATCATCTGTATACAACTCACGACAACTATCACTAACCGACAGATGACTCTTGATAGCCGATTCCTAATTGTTAGAATGTCGCATCTTTTTCGTCACCTCCAATGTCGCAGCTCTTGACCCGTCCTTTCCACTGGGCAGTCGCCAGACCACCACGAAAGCCATTGATCAAGACAACGGAAGAATCAGACACTGGACGTGTGATCAAGCGGTGTGGTGGAAGGGACGAGTCAGGACCTGCCACATCGGAAGTGACTACAAGGCGACTGCCCAGTGGAAAGGACGGGTCAAGAGCTGCGACATTGGAAGTGACGAAAAAGACGCGACATTCTAACAATCAGCAATCGGCTATCAAGAGTCATCTGTTGGTTGGTGATAGTTATCGTGAATTGTACAGAGATGATGTTTTCTCAGTTTTGGCCCATGGCAGATCTGTATTACATTTGTCCGTTTTGGAAGCGTTCTATATTTGTAAGTTGTCCCCTAAACTATGTATTCAGAAGGAAAACGTTTTGTCACTTCAGTTGTTTGGCGCTAATCTTTTGTTGCAATCACTGCTTATCCATGCCGGTTCCTTTTTCTTCTTCTCTCCTTCTCCCTTCCTTGCCGTGGTTGGCTAACACCCTCTCTCTTTGCATTGACCGGTGTTCTCACTGTGCTATGAGATGCTGTAATAAATAAAGACATAAATAAAATGAAGTGTCAGGAATGCTTCTCCTCGCTGATGTTTTCATTATGTTTTAGTCATTTCTTCACCTTCACACTGTTGTTTTTGACAATTAAGTTCTGCTGGATTTTTCCCCGCACGTATAGCGTGAGGTTTTCGATCTATGCTTTTGCTGTAGCTCTAGAAGTTGCTGTATTTTGACATTTTTCCATTATTCCCTGTACTTACCCATGATGAGAAGGGAACGAAAACGTTCGGTTACTAAATTGGCTTACTTGACTGTGTGGATTGCGTCGGTGTTGACACCTTTGCTTTCGAAATTGGATACGCCTCCATTTTTTCATATAATTTCCTTCATCTTTCTGTGAGAACCGGACCTATGGGCCGGCAAGAAGGTAATCATGCCTGTGCAATTGGTGAAGTAAAATAAAATTCAACAACTAAAACAATCGTTTGCCCTTTGATGTTCTTTGCAGAGACTGAATGCCCTTCATGTGACTTTGGTGCAAACACAGTACCGTCCTTTGGTGGTATTGTAGTGCATAGCAAGACAAACGTATCGTCCTACTGCAACGACGGGTATCGGCTGCAGGGAGCCAGCAACGGAGTACCTTGCAGCGGAGGTTATACATTTCCCGGATGTGAAGGTGAGTGACGTGAGGTGGCTTGCCTTCAGCGTGTCCCTCGTTGTCTGCTTGTCTGTGCAAGACAGCTCTGCAACCGTCTAGTACAAATGCCAACACAATGACGTTGTGCACGTGTGTGTGTGTGTGTGTGTGTGTGTGTTCACGCATGTGCATATGTGTCTGTTCCTTCACCTGCATATGTATTCATGTGTGCGGCACATGCCTATCTTGCAGCTATAACATGTCCAGCTCTATCCACCCCTGCCAATGGCAACGCATCACCAGCGACGCCCGTCTTGGTAAAATACGGTGAACAACAGTCATTTTCGTGCAACTCTGGTTATGTTTTGGAGGGTAATTCTAGTTTGCTCTGCTCACAATCTGGTGTCTTAGCTGCTCAACACCCAAAATGTACAGGTAGGTCACCTATGTGCCATGTGCATGTGTCCGTTTCTCGGGGAGGAGGAAGGGGAGGGGGTTGAAGAGAAACAACGAGTTTTCGTTTCTAAATAAATATCGGTATTTACAGATGACCCCTAAGTGGAGTCGACTGGACGCATATGACAACAGAGCGTCATTTGCGCGTAGTCGTAGTGCCGGAAAGGCTGCGGTCGTATCTACAACACATCACTCACTGCCTCACTCTTTCGAGTCTTTGATTTCTTCACGCCGTGGTTAGCGCAGGGTTCCATTCTGGTTAATACGACATCAGTTACAAGACACCCTCATTAGTACAACATCGGTTACAAGACACCCTCATCAGTACAACATCGGTTACAAGACACCCTCATCAGTACAACATATTTACAAGACACCCCTCATTAGTACAACGTTTTTTTACAAGACACTCCTCATTAGTACAACGTTTTTTACAAGACACCCCTCATTAGTACAACGTTTTTTACAAGACACCCCTCATTAGTACAACGTTTTTTACAAGACACCCCTCATTAGTACAACGTTTTTTACAAGACACCCCTCATTAGTACAACGTTTTTTACAAGACACCCCTCATTAGTACAACGTTTTTTACAAGCCACCCCTCATTAGTACAACGTTTTTTACAAGACACCCCTCATTAGTACAACGTTTTTTACAAGACACCCCTCATTAGTACAACGTTTTTTACAAGACACCCCTCATTAGTACAACGTTTTTTACAAGACACCCCTCATTAGTACAACGTTTTTTACAAGACACCCCTCATTAGTACAACGTTTTTTACAAGACACCCCTCATTAGTACAACGTTTTTTACAAGACACCCCTCATTAGTACAACGTTTTTTACAAGACACCCTCATTAGTAGACCGCAATTCCAAATCCCCTAACAGTCGTGGACAAGAGATAATTAATTTTGTTTGTAGACAACATTTGTGATAATGTCCACCCCATTGCGACCATCGTCTATTCTGCCAGCACCTTGAGGAACTGATCCGAGCCATACCAACAACAACGCAAAAGATTATCCTCGGAGATTTCAATGCAAAGAACGCCGCTTGGTGCCACTCTGACACGACAGATGCTGTTGTCGAGGATCTAGCAGTGCTGTTCTAAACTTACTCTCTAGACCAACATGTCACATTCCCCACTCTTGTGCAGAATGGGCACCCTGAATCCTGCCTAGATCTCGTCGTCACGGATGTAGACAGCAACTGTGTCCTTATCTCTATTCTCCCGCAGATCGGCAACTCGGACCACCTATCCATCAGGGGTTTAATAAAGCCAGTCGCTGCACCCTCTCGAGGCATACCACCTCCCACCCATAACACCACCCATTGGAAATGGTCAAACCAAAGCATCAGCAGTCTGAAAGCCGAAATGGAATGCACACAACTGCTGCCGGAAGGTGACACCCTGAACACTACCAACATAGACAACCTGTGGCACTCATGGAAGGACAAAGTGCTCACTTGCGCCCGCAAACACTGTGCAGTACCTCACCCCCCGAGGCATACTAGCCACCCAGCAAAGCCATGGCTGAACCCAGAGCTCACTAACGCCATCAGAGAAAAACACCGGCTCTACCGTGCCTACTTGCGCACCCGGGCGCCCTGCAACTGGACAGCATACACCACCCAACGCAACAAAGTTACTCACCTTCTCCGAATCGCTAAGTCTACATATGTCAGTAATGGCACTGGGACGAGCCACTCCACACCAAACCTACACAAACTGATGCGCGGCCTCCAGTCCTCACAACGACCTACTCAGCCAGACATGCTCTCCCAGGGCCAGACTCTCTCAACCCCCGCCGAAAAAGCAACCACCCTGAACGCTTTCTTCATCTCGCAGAGCCAACAGTCAGTCACAGGGTGCCACGAGGAACTCCCCTCCATTCATTCCCACACCCAATACACCTGGCCTCACTACTCTTGAAACAACAGCCCAAGAGGTCTCAAAGTTACTGTCTAACCTGAACCCGTCAAAGAACCCGGGCTCTGATGGCATACCAACCCGCCTAGTGAAAGAGGCAGCCAGTTCACTTGCGCCGTCCCTAGCAACCCTTTTTAACATCTCCTTCGAACGTTGCACTATCCCGCAAGAGTTGAGGGACGCAACAGTCACCCCCATCCACAAGAAGGGCAGCAAAACCGAGCCCTCCAACTATCGACCGATATCGCTACTCAGCGTGACGTCGAAAGTACAAGAGAGGATAGTTGCTGACCGCATCTCGAAACCCATCCAACCTCACCTCCCCAACGCCAATCAGGCGTTCGGCCAAACGATGGCACCACACAGCAGCTATCTCGGTTAATCCATCAAATCACCGAGAAAAGAGACGCTGGGCAAACAGTAATTGCTTGCTTCTTCGACCTATCTAAGGCGTTTGACCGGGTGTGGCACCAAGGACTGCTTGCAAAATTGGCCCACCTTGGACTCGATGGCAAATGCCTCCAGTGGCTTGCCTCTTATCTCGCCAGCAGACGACAATGTGTGCAAGTGGAGAGCAGCAAACCAACCTGGCTGAACATTCCAGCGGTGGTCCCCCAAGGCTCTGTCTAGGGGCCGCTTTTGTTCACGGCCTACACAGTCGATCTGACAACCGCCTGCATAAATGCCACCACTGAGTGCAGCCAGTTTGCCGATAACACTGCCATCATTGCCGCTCACGAGAAATTTCTAGCCACAGAAGAGCACATCCAGTCAGCCGTGACAACCGCGGCACAGTGGCTGAAGGATTGGGCATCTCCTGGTCAACGAAAGTAAGACCACTGTCATCCACTTTCACCACACCAACCGGCCACCTCCCAGACCACCATCAATCACACTCAACGATACCAACCTCACAGTGGCCTCAAGGCATCGCCACCTTGGCCTCCTCATACAGCAGAATCTTCTATGCTGGAACTCGCATGTTGACTACATCATCACTAAAGCGACCAGGAAGATATTCCTTCTCCTGCGACTACGCAATTCCTTAAACATTTCTGCTCTCTCCTCCCTCTATCTAACTTACGTCCGCCCTATTCTTGAGTATGCGTGCACTGTCCTCTCACCCCTCCCTGCAACCCTGAACGACCGGCATGAGCGCATCCTGTTATGGTTGCACATCCCACTGTTTGTCACTGTATCCTGTTATGTGTCATGTATGCATTCATCCGGCCGCGCTGTATGGCATGTCAGTTGTACCGTACGCACTTTAGCTGTGTAGTAGACGGATTTTCTACTGTATCATACCGTATGTACCGTATATCGATAGACTTACCATATCGTATATATAGTACCGTACTGTACGTTATTTTGTGTACGTCGTGTGTACGTTATGTTGGTGCATGCGCGTGTTGCTGTGGTGTAAAAAGCAGTCTTCGTCTTAAATTCGTCATGTCTAGTTGTGTTTCCGTAGTCGTCTTGAAATAAACAGTCTTTCAAATGTAGTTATCGTCGTCCCTTTATATAAGTGTGGAGATGGCACGGGACTGGGTGCAGGTGGAGAAAAGGCAGTTACAACAAGCTGTACCTGCCTGCCTGGTTTTTCCTTTGATCTCTCTGTCGTTCTCTGTATTCCCACACACTTGTGATTTGTTGTAAACGAAGCTAGTTACAAGATGTCTTTGGTGCGTTTGTAGAACCACTGCACATCCAACGGCGCGCCGCTCGCCTCTGTTTGCATCTCCCCCTCTTTGAACACAGAACCCACTCCGTGCTGCTGCACCGACTCAAATGGTCATCACTCAGCAGGCGCCGTACCCTCTCCCATATCCTTCTTGCACATAGCCTGCATCATAGACCACACCTTCTTGCAATTCACCTACCCTGAATAGAACCCATTCGCACGCTCAAGTTCCCCCGAACCTTTGAGCTACCCACAACACGTACAAACCGGCTAAGAGACTCCCCCATCTATGCTTCTCTTGATCTCTTTAATAGCATTCCACTCAGCCTCCGGCAAATCAACCCCAGACGAGATTTCAAAGCAAACATCCTACCACTTGTCATCTCTTCCGTATGTACTTGCTCACATTGCTCAGCACATCTATAGCTCCATTGCGCCCAGCCTATGTGATAAACTCCCTATTGCCATCGCTACTGCTTCAGCAAGCAGCTAAACTTTGATCTCTCTGTATCTGATCCCCGTGCCTGTAATTATTTTCTCTTATTGGCCACAGGCCATCGTGAGAATAAAAAAAGATGTCAAACGTCACCTTTAGTTGTCCCACAGGTTCGATTTCCCTCATCACAAAACAAAGCAATTGGCCATGGATTTCCAATTTGTTCAGATGGTGTGTGTGTGTGTGTGTGCATGTGTGTGTGTGCGCGCGTGTGCGTGCGTGAGTTTGTGTGTGTGTGTGTGTGGGTGTGTGTGTGTGTGTGTGTGTATTTTCGCGGAGAGGAAGCAGATTTGTTAGCTCCTGGTTTTCTCTTTGTTGGCCTCCTCCACGGGGCGGCCTTGGCCTTCTGGTCAGGGTCGTCCCTGGGTATTGAGTGGCAGTAGGCTTTTCATGCCTTGCAGCCAGTTTCGCTCGCGCGGAAGGACATTCAGTGAGCTGACGACCAGGGCGGGTAATTATTTGTTGCCGTCACCGTCTTCTTGCGTCCTTTCCGCATCCTCCGCAGTGGTGTGGCGAGCCCTCGGATCGATCCCCAGCCTGAAACAATGCAGTGGCGTTCGGCAAAGCAAGTGGATTCCTGGATGAGAAAGGAAACAGGTCACACTCGCAGCAATTTATTCCTGCGCGGTGTATCGCTGGAATTGTGGATTTGTCGTGTTGTTTGGACCTGAGTGGCCAGTCGTCGTGCGGCGATGGTGTAGTGATGTTAGCTTGCTGTGCACACTCCTCGTCGTTTCGTGAAAGTTCGTCTTGTGGAGCCCTTGTGGGACGTTTGGTGCCCATCCTCCAGTTCAAGATTGTGCTTTCCTGGTTTATGAAGGTTGAAGCAGTACGCGTACAGACGTTGAACAGAACATCATGTTCCTTTTTCAGTCGTTGCATGTTATACTTATAGTGGACCTACAGCAGACTGTTCATCGTGTTTGTGATATTTCTTTCCTCTGTTTGTGAGTCCTTTTCCATGAATATGGCAGCTTGTTTTGATTTCCTTTTTTTTCAATTCATTTTGCTGTACTTCCTGTTTTGTTTTGCGCCACTGCCCCTCACTTTGCGCTCAGTTCTCTGAGTGGAGGGCGGCGTGACCCCACGGGGTAGCTGATTGATAGTAGTAGTAGTAGTGTGTGTGTGTGTGGGGGGGGGGGGGTGTGGGTGGGTGGGTGTGCGTGTTTTGCGGACGGTCGTTCCGCAGAAGTGGCGGCCTCACACGTCATCAAAATTTCTGCCTAGCTCGAGAAGCCTGTCACCGCCTTTGGCGATGGGGCGTCAAAAGGTCACAAGCTGTTTATAGGTGTAGTTTTTCTGTTTTTGAATTTTTTACGAAATGCCATATGGTCCACACAATGGGAACATGCAGCAGCCATGGTGGTGGGGGCCAGGCACTCCGTCGACCAACTGGTCTCGACATCGGGGTTTCATGTGTGAGGTGTGGGCATGCATGCAGGTTGGTTGTGGCGCGCTTTGTCTGCGCAGACGCCGAGACCTTTAAGGTCGGCAGAGCAGCCTGGCCCCGCCACCACTTCTCGTGCGTATCCGGGAATATAGTGGACTTTTGTATAAAAAATAAAATAAAAAAATAAATAAAAAGGGGCACTTGCTGTTAGTGTTGAAACGATCTCACCGGATACTCGTTAGTTTATTTTTTACGAAATGCCATATGGTCCACACAATGGGAACATGCAGCAGCCATGGTGGTGGGGGCCAGGCACTCCGTCGACCAACTGGTCTCGACATCGGGGTTTCATGTGTGAGGTGTGGGCATGCATGCAGGTTGGTTGTGGCGCGCTTTGTCTGCGCAGACGCCGAGACCTTTAAGGTCGGCAGAGCAGCCTGGCCCCGCCACCACTTCTCGTGCGTATCCGGGAATATAGTGGACTTTTGTATAAAAAATAAAATAAAAAATAAATAAAAAGGGGCACTTGCTGTTAGTGTTGAAACGATCTCACCGGATACTCGTTAGCTCGCTCGCCAGAAACTCGGCTCGTTTGTGAGGCCAGCTCGTTTGCACTAACGAACACCGTACACCGCACTCCGTACACATGGCAGTACATGTCGACCGGGCCCGCGGGGCCGGGAGTCGTAAAATATTTTACGACTCCCTGGTCGATCGAGAGTCCAGTCCCGCGCAAAGTGAAAATCACTCGCAGTTACAGTGACTGTATGCCTGCACGACACTCGAGTTGTTTCAGTTGTCGTTGCAGCTTTGGTGGACTCTACTGATGTCTTGTTCTGCATCTGCTGACCTGTCGCAGGATATGCTTCGGTCACCTCTCCATTCGAGTGAAAGTTACGCTCAGTCGTTTTGAAGTTTTCTCCCGCGATGCAGCGAAGACCAGGGCTACTTGCAATCTTTGCAAAACGGTCTATTCTTACAAAGGCTACTCGATGACGGCGCTGAAAAGACATCTTGACACCAAACAGCAGTCCGAAGTGAAGCAGCAGCAACCCCAAATGCCGGCGGTGATAATTTGAACGAGCTGAAAAAATCAAACTTAGAAATTTTTGTATTCAAAAAATCATATTTGCCACATCAATGAAACTCGTTAGCTCGCTCGATAGCTTGCTCGTTAGTGGAACTGATCGCTCGTTTGTTATAGATACGCTCGTTTCAACACTACTTGCTGTACTGCTGTGAGTGTTCTCCGCATGTTCAAAGGACCCATTTCCCAAAGTCGTGATTTGTACCATAAACACCCTTCACAGCCACCTGGACATGGTCGTGTCTGGGGTGTTGAGCAGTGCATTCCTGATCCCAGCGTACTCACAAGCATTACTCATGCATCCCATATTTGGCAATGCACAGTGGGTCAATTGGACTATGTATGCTGTTTTCCTTTCTCACCTGCAGAGGACATTGTTTGCTCCAGAAACCCTACTGGCTGTCCCGCATCAAGTGTCGGCTGTGTTGAGATTCTGGGCAGCGCTTTCGGCACATGCGCTTGTCAATTTCCCGCCGTGTACTTGAACAGTTCTTGCCAAGGTATGAGACCACTGCCTATTCTTTGCTGCACACTGCATATTTCTGATCATTTTAGATGCAAAATAACGCACCCACCACACCATGCCATAAAAGTCAATGTCCACACTGGAATTTCAATCCAATTCCACTTGATAAGACTCGGGTGTTTACCCAAATGGTATTATGTAAAGAGAAAGAACCTATTGTATATGAATTTGTATTTGTATTTATGGATTCTCCACAGGCCTTAGCTTAAATCGAGGCCTATACGTTAAGAGTTATCAGCCCACCGAGGTAAAGACACAATATACAGTCAGATAGTGCGACAACAAGGCACAAAACTGACAAGGACATTGAGACATTCGACTGCCTGACACCTAGCTCCAAAACGTCTACGAAACGCAAAGCAACAGCCTTCCAACTTGGAAGGCTCAGATGCGGAAAGTTCCAATGAGGGGAGGGGATGCGCCACGAAGATGCGCACGGTCAGTTTTGTGCCTTGTTGTCCTACTATCTGACTTTATATTGTATCGTTAGCTTGGTGGCCTGTTTGTCATAACTCATAATGTATAGGTCCTTTCTCATCATCAGTTGTCTGATGATGGCCTAACGGCATGAAACTCAGAGTTACAACCAACCTGAACGTCCTCCCCTGAGTCTGCTATGTACTAAGCTTTGTCTCTGACATTGAGCACTCTCTGCAGCTCGGGGATCAACGGATTTGGTCCTTTCTCTGTACATCATTCCACATGTTTACTCTTTCTGCTGGCCTGGACATTGTTAGTATAGTACTTATGTCCCCCGCCGAGTGGAAGGGTCGACGGGCTTCTCGTGTGCTCCAGACCCAGTCGTGAGTCAGTCAAGTATCAAGCCAGTCGGCCGGAAGCGTGAGATCCGAAGTCCAGAGCTGACACTTTCAGTACTTATTTCCTTTATTTTTGCAAACCATACCGTGTCAAGTGTGATAACAGGGCCCACAAACTAGGAAAGATGCATTGAACTCCCGACACAACAAGAGCACAGTAATTTTAGTTATAATTCATATATGGCCCAACTTCTGCGAAAACCAGGCTTAGGGTGAAAATCATTTTTTTTGAGAAAAATGATGTTTTGTAAAACGGTTGTGTCGCGTGGACGCACGAGTGCAGTGAAGTGGAACCAAAGAGAATCTCGCTTGTTTGAAGAAGTAGCAGTCATGGCAGGAATGGTTTCAGCAGTCAGGGAAGTCAAAGGGCTTCCGGTAGAATATTCCCTGCTACTCCTCTAGCCACAACGAAGAGTTTTTGAGCTGATCGAACGGATTCCATCTCCTTCACTCAGGGATGGCGAAATTTCTGCGCTAGCTGCTGCTTGCGGAAAATGGTGAAGAAATCGTCTCCAGTTAGAGTCGTGATGGCGATAGCGAGGAGAACCTGGACGGCATCGACCCAGCCAATCGAAGTATGGAGATACTAGCTGTTTCTGGGCCTCACGCAAAGGGAACACGCGCAGCAGAGCTCATACGTTTGCAGCAAGTTCAAGAGGAAAAAGGCTAGAAGCGCAGTGTGAAAACTGTTTTGAATTGAAGTCCTTGGCGATGAAGTGCTACTGAATGCCAGGCGAATGAGCGTGCAGATCGAGAGGCCTCCACTCGAGACTTTCCTCGCTGGACAGCTAGCTGCAAGGGATTGTACGGCGTGCCGAGATTTCACTTGCTGGTCAGCACCAAGCAGACACTGCAGCACGCCAGGCTCGCCAGCACACTATCACTAGTATGCGCATACTACGAGTACGAACAGTGGAACAGTTTGAAAGGCTGTGTTCTTGCTTGTTTTTGAATAGTTGTACTAGATTCACCCTTCAAAAGGTGCCATCTCAACTGGAGTCGGGTTTCCTTGTGGTGTGTAGCGCCAGAGCATGCCAGTACATGCATGCAGCCCCAGAATGTGCTGAGTGAGGAGCAAACAAAATTCATGCAGAACTGTGCATGGCCACTACAGCCTGCAGCACCAAGGGGCCACAACAAGCCTGCCCCCACATGCCTACCTTGTCATGTCACCTAAACAAAAATCATCCATGTCTCTTCCTTCACTCTGGTGGATCTCTCTTCATTTCTTTCCTGTGATAACAATTTTGTGTTTTTTTTGGATTTTTTAACACAATACCCTGGTGTGTTTGAGATACTTTTAATACCACTATGAGTGGACCCACACCTGTAATATTTTGTCTCCTGACCTCCCATGCCCAGTAGAAGCTGAAAATGGGAAAAAGTCATTTTGTGAAATTTCACCCTAAGCCTGGTTTTCGCAGATTCTGGGCCATATTACAATATTATTGATACCTGACCGGTTTCTGCAATTGGAATGCTTCATCAGAGGATGAAGAATGAGGTAGAAAAACTAGCTTATAATAAAAAAAGCCTTATATACATGGTAGGCATGAATTGGCATAGTGTAAAGTGGAGAAGGTTGCTAGTCATGTTGCGCTATGCACCAGTAACTGAGCGTGTAGCAATGCAGTAAAATAATTGTCTTGGCGCAAATGTGGCTAATACACATGGGTAGCGTGAACCTTAGGAAATAGCTAGGTGAAAAGTTGTAAAGCTGTACAAAAGTAAGTGAACCATAGGGTTGAACTAGGTGAAAGTTGTAGGTTTGTACAGATGTTTTTGGTTGGTTCCAGAAATTTCTGGAACCAACCAAAATGCAGAGCAAAGTATGCTCTGCCGTATGAGTGAACTAATAATTATTGTAAAAAAGCTGCTTTGATTCTTCTAAAGAAAATCTGAGAATCAGTAAAAAGTGACTGTTTCAGAAGGGAGCGATAGTTTGCTCCGACAAGGTGCGGATGGTATGTGGTACAGAAAACATACTGTTTGTTCTTATGCACCGAGTCTGTAGCTTTATTTACAAATACTTGCGGTTTGGGCTCTACAGCAATGAATAGCGTACCCAGGAATTCGGGTGGATATCCTCGTTTTCTGAGTCTGAGCCAGAAAAGCTTGCGAATCTTGAGAATATCCTCTCTAGTAGCTGGTTTGTATGGTTGTACCGGATGAGCTCTGCATTGATAAATGATCTAAGATTAGAGCGGGGGTGGTCTGACTTGAAAGGGATGTATAAATATGCATTCCTGTCTTTCTGGAAAGTTCTGTTGGAGAATCTATCCGCATCTATCTTAAAAATTTCTAAATCTAGAAATACGGCTGTAGAAGAAACATCAGACCAAGTAAGCTTAATATAAGATAAATCGCTGTATACGACGGCATAACATTTTATCCTATCGAAAGTCTTGCAAACAATTAAACATAAATCGTCAATGAATCGTCCAAAAAAGTAAAGTGATGAACGGAAACTTTAAAGAGCTTTTTTCTCATGCATAAAAAGAAAAATATTAGCAACGTTGACGGCCATTGGGGTACCCATGGCCATACCGAACTCCTGATGGAAGAGCTTTTCCTTAAACTCAAAATAATTGTTTTCTAGGACAAATTCGACTAGGTCTACAATAAGAGAGCGTAATGGGTGTTCGGCTTCGGCAAGGAAATCATTGATAGCTGCTACTGTGTCTGACCAATGCATGTTAGTGTACAAACTGGTGACATCGACTGTAACGATCATAGCATCAGCAAGAAAGTCTTTACTGGATCGAACATTTGTGAGACTATGAGTGTCCTTGAGCACAGTGTTAGCAGGCGTCTTGGCAAACGCTTTACATAAATAGTGGTCTATGAGGCGAGATGCAGGTGTGGTGCAATAACTTAAGCAAGGCACTATGGGTCTACCCTTTACAATGCCATTAGGACCTGGAGCCTTATGTATCTTAGGGAGCATGTACAATTTTGCTGGTTTAAAAGGAAAACTTGCGAATAGTGCTCTGACATCTTTAGGGGAAAGTAGTGGTTCATGACTCTGCACGATGTCATGTAGAGACTGTTCAACGTAGTGAAGCTCTGGTACTATAGTGTCCAGATTAACTAAGCTATCACCTGGCGTGGGAATAAATCTGTAGGACTTGCAATCAGACAACTGTCTGTAGCCTTCTGCTATGTAATCCTCTACATTTAAGACAACTGTGCCTAGATTCTTATCAGCGTTAGCAATGACAATATCTGTTCGGCTGTTGAGACTACATAAAGCAAGTTTCTCACCAGGCGATAGGTTGTTTGGGCGATGTATTGAGCAAGCAGCAGTAACACCAGCTGTTAGTTCAGTCCTGAATTCTAGCAAAGCTGTTTCTGTGGCGATGGACACACGCGGTGGTTGTCTTGACAACCGTAGATAAAAACTGCGTATGTAACCATTAAAACACTGATCATGATCGATCGCTTAGTGCGTGAAACTCTGAGTAAAAACACTTCCTCTGTCCTCCTATTGTTTATGTAACCATCATCACGGCGGGTGATGTTGGTGAAGACCTCACCCCAGCGAACATTGTGCTCGAATTTAGCGATATCATTTGTGAGCTGGTCAGTGCTGGGCAGTCGGCCGGTTGGACGGAAGTTGGACCCATAGCCCAACACTTGGCGTTCTGCATTAGAGAAAAACAAACTGGAGTAATTGTGAAAGCCAGAGTTAGTAACGAATAGAGCATAGTCACGAAGGTTTAGCTTCCAAATATACCGTAGGCGGTGGTCGCCTATCGTTTGGTCACATTTCTTCGGGCAGCTGGGTTGGATTGCTTCTTCTTTACCTGCGTCCATCCGCCATCGTTTTTTTGACGTCGGTTGTTTGGATTGGCGTTTCGTTTCTCTTGGCTGTTGGTGTTGCTTCGGCCTCGGCTGTTGCTTCACCTGTTGCTGTTGTTTCGGCGGAGTCTTTGGTTCTTTAGATCTGCCTTTGCGAGTTGAGTCGAGGAGGACTTACTCACTGCACCTAGTTGTCGCTTCACCTCACGCCACGAAGATGCGCACTGTCAGTTTTGTGCCTTGTTGTCCTCCTATCTGACTTTATATTGTATCGTTAGCTTGGTGGCCTGTTTGTCATAACTCATAATGTATAGGTCCTTTCTCATCATCAGTTGTCTGATGATTGCCTAACGGCATGAAACTCAGAGTTACAACCAACCTGAACGTCCTCCCCTGAGTCTGCTATGTACTAAGCTTTGTCTCTGACATTGAGCACTCTCTGCAGCTCAGGGATCAACGGATTTGGTCCTTTCTCTGTACATCATTCCACATGTTTACTCTTTCTGCTGGCCTGGACATTGTTAGTATAGTACTTATGCCCCCCGCCGAGTGGAAGGGTCGACGGGCTTCTCGTGTGCTCCAGACCCAGTCGTGAGTCAGTCAAGTGTCAAGCCAGTCGGCAGGAAGCGTGAGATCCGAAGTCCAGCGCTGACACTTTCAGCATTTATTTCCTTTATTCTTGCAAACCATACCGTGTCAAGTGTGATAACAGGGCCCAAAAACGTACAGGCCACTGGGACTTTCAACGAAGTGTTAGAGCTGGGTGTCAGGTATTAGAGTGTCTCAGTATTCTATACACATTTTGTACCCAGCTATTGCACTATCCGACTGCTTACCGCGGCATTTCCCCAATTGTAAGGGGCACTCGATTAAAAGTCGCACCCCCACTTTGAGGTTTGAACCACATTGTTTCAATACATGTATAAGTAGGATGTCACCCTCGATTGTAAGTCGCATCCCTTCTTTGTCCTTGAAGTTTAGTGTAAAAGGTGCGACGAATATTTGGGGAAATGCGGTATTAGAGGGGTTTCTGCGAAACGAAAATGCGTGCAAACGTTCGCTCCACGACATGAAGTGAGAAACTTCGCACGGACTTTCGCAACTTTGGACGCGACACTTGCAGGGAACGTGAACTGAACTTCCATGGGAAGTTTCGTGAGATCGGGTCATGGCGTACTTCGGTGTGTATGTAGGTGTTGGGGTTTGCATACGTTCATGTGTGTGCCTGCCTGGCTTGCATGCTAACTTACCATGCACTTACTTGATTCGCATGTTGCTTTGTGTGTTGCTAACGCCGTGCCCCAGTACCGCAATGCACACCTCTGCCTGCACCGCAGGACGGCAGCACCTCCACGGCAACAAGCATTAACCATGGCGACAGTCAAACATTCCAGTGCAACCGCGGCTATCAGCTGATTGGCAACAGCACGTTGCCATGCAACATGTCGGGATACATCGCCGGTGCACCACCAACATGTACAGGTAAGCGAAAACGAAACCTCTTGCGCTCACGGGTCCTGCACCATGGCCGTTGCTAATGTGCCTGTTCATAGACTGACACATTTAATTAAAACAGCCAACGCCATCCTTGCAACAACAACAACAAAACACGCAAAAAAACTACGCGAAGACAATTTAATCCTAGCAATAAAAGGTTTAAACTGCGCACTCATATTCTATGCACACGTCAAGGCGACAAAGGCGAGTACCCATACTCACTCGATTGGAAGCCGGGCGCTTCTATTTTTTCAATACCAATTTTGACGAGTATTCTATTCAAGAGGGGATTCTAATCGAGAGGGGCTTTTATTGTTTCATTCCATACCAGTATTCCAATCGAATCTGTCAACTTTTATATTCACAGCAACTCGGCTCCGAGTTAGTTGACACAGTACGTGAACCAAGACATGTACCAATATGTGCATGCCCCAGCTGATTTTAACCAGGACATGTACCAATATGTGCATGTCCGAGCTGATTTTGCGCACTTGGCCTTAAAACATAATTATATTGCACTACCTGGTCACCCCATGCTTCGCGAATAGTAGTCCGGGCTTCTATTCGAGAGGGGCTTGTACTTTTTCAAACAGTCCCTGTAGGGGGGGGGGGGGGGGGGGGCTTGGATTCAAGAGGGGCTTCTAATCGAGTGAGCACGGTATGTGTTTCAAGAACGTTATCTCATGATGGCTATTGGTGGGAATAACATCACTGCATTGGTGCAGGTACCTGGGAAAAACCACAGAGCGTATAGAGAGAAAGTAGAGAGGTTCTGCTACACGCAACTACCTACCAAACTCTGTGTTAACTGCAGTGAAGTTTGACATAGTTTTTCGTACGTTGGACCAGTCCTGCTGTACGTAGCATGCTTGTAGCATGCTCGAGCACCCCGCCACATGTACTCTGTACGCTCAGTTTTCACACGGAGTCCCGTCCGTGTGAAGTGCGCTTCACACGGAGAAGGGAATGAAAAAATCCGTATGAAACTTGATCCCGTACCGCGGTGAGGTTTCCATGCGTACTTTGGCACGTTTTGCCGTGTGGCAGAACCTCACTAGTTTAACATTTTGACATAATAGGGACCTTTCGCATTTGCTACGAAACGAATGCGAAACGAAAGTTTGATTCGGCTCGTAATCGTTTCGTTGAAAACAGATTTCAGGTTTCGCAAGTCGTCATGCAAATGTGCATGGCAACTACGAATACGGCCGCGGGCGCCGGTAGCTTGGCGTACGGGTTTTTACACGCACACGTGCATGGATCATGGAATCAAGGGAAAAATGTGTACGAGTCTCGTACCTTCCAAAACATGTGTACCTATCCAAATAAATGTGTACCTGACGGATTCGGAGCGTGCCACGAATGAAGAGGCCTCCATTCGTGAAAACGAGTTCTCCGCAGGGACTCTGACGAATCCTCGGGGTGCGAAAGGTCCCTAATGGCTGATTTTTGTTTCTGAAGGTTGCCCAGATGTAGCAGTTGAACATTTGGTAGCTCAGGATGAGGTATTCACTGCAGCCTGTACAATCACGGCAAATGATGCAAGGTCCGACATTTGTGTGCGAGGGTTTTGGACTCGTGCGCAAAACACATTAAATTTTCTCGATGTACGAGCGTTCCATCCAGATGAAGCTTCATATGTTTCTTCCGTGAGAGTGTATGGCATTCTCAGTCTATGTCAGTGCTCGCTGCATTGAGTAGGGTTCCAATTTTATTATCACATTCTTCCTTTCATGCAATTGTTTTCACTACTTGAACTGTGTTCTACTCCACCATACACCACCTTACTGCAGCTGTCTAGAGGCCTTAAAATACAGTAAAATGATCTCTAGTTCAAGTTCTGATGATCAGCAGATGACAGTACATAAAGTATGGCCAGAGCGCCCCGTCTCGCGAGAGCGCCGGACCTTGATTTACAGCCAGGGAAAGGAAAATCGGATGGCAAAGTGCAACGAAGTTTCAAGTTTGTACGGTGTAAGAACCTTTGTGTACTAAGGTCACACTAAGCAGGTTTTTGTATGGAGCTCGTGTCCACTCGAAGGTACGGATTGTCTGCATAACGTGCAATATGTGTACAAAGTTCGTGTCGTACGACCTACAGGCAGGAGACCACCTCCACAATACGACCATGAAAGGACGAGATGGTGGGGCGCTCTGGCGGCACTTTACGGTGCAGGGGCGTAGCCAGGGGGGGGGGGGGGGTGCTTTGGGTGCCAAAGCGCCCCCTCAAGAATTTCGATCTTGTTTCACATCTGGATCGAGAGATCGAGAGAGAGACCATAGTATAGTATACACAGACCGCTGATCACATGCGTGCCACTGCCACTCTGCACATCGCACACTGGCACTGTAACCATCCCTGTTCAGACCAGGGAGTAGTAGGCACTACTCCCTGGTTCAGACCTGCAAGTACAATGTATCTGAAACCAATCCACATGCAGTTGACTTTTTGTCTCATGATTGGCCATTTTGCAATGAAATTTCTAGTCAAGGGAACTCCGCTTCGTGCCTGCTGTTGTGCAGTGTCACATCAGGCCTCAGCAGGCTCAGCACATGATTTGCATCGCACTCCACATGTTTTGTTAGAAGCAAGGAATCGTACAAAACACGCCATTGGTAGAAGCAAGGAAGTAGCAACGCGGTCTATAGAGGTGAAACGATTAGTTCGAATATCCGAGTATTCGTTCGAAAATTTCAAACGAGCGAGTATTCGAAATTTTGCACTCGATCGTTTTTTTATTTATTTATTTATTTTTATTTTAGGATTGGCATTGTATTTTTTTTAAACTTTTGTTGTACCGCTGGTCCACTGGTATGCATGGCTTTGAGTCAGTATTTTAAGACTTGGACGATGCGATCACCATGGCAAGTAACGTTCTGAGATATGAAAGTACTGATGAAAATCGTTACTTTACAGTTTACACTCTGTACAAGACGGCGACTTTTGTTCTATGTTCACAGATAATTTCTTCCGAATTGGTCGAGAACTTGCAAATCTAGCGCTTTTGAATTTTGATAAAATACTCGAAATAATCGGATACTCGATCGAATATTATCGAGGGATCGGTTGGTCAAAATAGATACTCGTTTCACCCCTAATGGACGGAAAGCACACGTCAGACATAGCAGTTTACTCTCACTGTTTTGTATAATGTAGTTCTGGCTGTTAATTGGTCTTGATGGAGGTTGTGGAAAGGCACAGTTTCTTTCAAGTGTTGCAAGTGTGAGTATAGCAGCAGAAGAGTGAAAGTAACGTTGAAGTGCAGTTTGAGCTTTTGTGGGGAATAACTTAGTGTAGGTTTGATCAAGATGCCTTACTGCACTATCAAACATGACGAAGAGCAAACATGGCTCGAGAAATCCCACTTTAAAAGTTCGATGGAGAGTGATAATTCTGGAGAAAGCAGCATCCAGGACTTTGTCCATCATTAGTTGGAAGCAGGGAGTAGTAAAATATCATAATAATGATTACTCCCTGGTTGGAGATTTGCCATTCACTGATTGATTTTCAGCGTCGAATTAGGGGCGAATTTTGCTCCCCCCCCCCCCCCCATTTCACGGATGGAATAATGTGCATGAAACTTAAAAGGACCAACATAAGTGCATGTACTTTTGTGTGGGGAAAGTCGTGGCACCCCCCCCCCCCCCCCTTATCACTATCCTGGCTACGCCCCTGCGGTGATTTGTTTAGCAGGGTACCTGTGCCGGGGCACTATACAGACCGGCGACAGTCACCATTCCTCGTCTTGTTTATCGTGTTTTCTGCAGATATTGACGAATGCAGTGATGGGACTCACAGCTGTAATACCAATGCACTCTGCCAAGACACTGATGGTTCATATACATGTATATGTAATAGTGGATACACTGGAAATGGCCGTGATTGTCAGGATATTGACGAATGCAGTGGTACGAGTCACAGCTGTAGCACCAATGCATTCTGCCAAGACACTGATGGCTCATACACATGTATGTGTAAAAGTGGATACACCGGAATTGGCACAACTTGCAATGATATTAATGAATGTGCCAGTGCACAAAACCACGACTGCCACTCAGCGGCTTCCTGTACAGACACTGATGGTTCATATACATGTATGTGCAATAGTGGTTACACAGGAAATGGCACAACGTGCAAGGATATCAATGAATGTGTTGATGGAAGTCACACATGTAATACCAATGCACAGTGCCAAGACACTGATGGTTCATACACATGTATGTGCAATAGTGGATACACAGGAAATGGCATAACTTGCAATGATATCAATGAATGTGTTGATGGAAGTCACACATGTAATACCAATGCACAGTGCCAAGACACTGACGGTTCATATACATGTATGTGCAATAGTGGTTACACAGGAAATGGCACAACGTGCAATGATATCAATGAATGTGTTGATGGAAGTCACACATGTAATACCAATGCACAGTGCCAAGACACTGATGGTTCATACACATGTATGTGCAATAGTGGATACACAGGAAATGGCACAACTTGCAATGATATTGACGAATGTGCCAGTGGTATGAGTCATGGATGCAGTGCCAATGCTGGGTGTAGTAACAATGCTGGTAGCTTCCAATGCACATGTAATGCTGGATACAGTGGAAATGGGGTTCATTGTACAGGTATGCTGCTTACTGACTAATTGTCAATGAATTGGTTATGTGTGTTGACCCTTAGTCAATTATCTATCCATCTCTTATTTTCAAAGATCACACAGCAATGAAGCAGATCTTTGTATTTCTGGCTCTGTACACTGGACATAGAGCACTGTACGCAGCCTGACGACCTTAGACAATAGTCTATCTCTGACTATATACCTCTTCAGGCTCTCTCTATCTACTAGTATCTTGCTCATTTTTTAGACCAGCAACACTCTCCATGGCAACACTCTCCATAGCAACACTCTCCATAGCAACACTCTCCATAGCAACACTCTCCATAGCAACACTCTCCATAGCAACACTCTCCATAGCAACACTCTCCATAGCAACACTCTCCATAGCAACACTCTCCATAGTGATGCTGCGCAACTTATAGTTGTGGTAGTAGTGGGTGTGTTCAGCTGGTCTTGTACGGTTCTGGATTTCTGGATGAGTCAATAAGGAGATTTTGATCGCCATGCACCCTAACACTGCAATCAGTGTATACCCTCTCTTCATCCATTCTTGTCCTTTTCTCAAAATGCGAAGCCTCCGCTGTAGCCATCCACTGTATCCATAGATCTTCACAACACTCTACAAACGGTCTCTGGGCTACACCAATCACTAAAAGAAAGAAAAAGAGATACTTAAAGTAATTTATACAAAAGAGAAAGAACAAGGAACTACAAGTTACGCTATACTGTCCACTACCACCACCAGTTACTAAACAATCCGCTCATGCGATAACATTGCACGACCGTCAGTACCGTCGGTCAGTGCCGTGCAATGTTTTCGCATGAGCTGATTGTTTAGTAACTGGTGGTGTTAGTGGACAGTATAGCGTCACTTGTACTTCCTTGGTCTTTCTCTTTTGTATAAATTAAACCTTGGCTCTCCATCTGAGTACAATCCTGCTCACTGAACGTAATCATATGAATTTCGGGCAAGGCCTATCTTCAGGAAGATGGTTATTTGAACAGTTGTTGTTGTTGTTTTTTTAGTGATTGGTGTAGCCCAGAGACCATTTGGAGAGTGTCGTGAAGATGTGTAGTTACCTTTGTCCTTGCTGATAAAATTATGCAATGCTGTCAGTGTTTCTGGCGCTCCAATGTTCTTCTTGTCATTATTTTGTCGTGTTGTTCAGCGTCATTGTCATTCATTCCCCTTATCATCGTGCTTGTTTGGTCGTTGTATTCTGTTCGTTGCGTTGATTAGTTGTGCAATGCCAGCCATTACAAGCTCCTCCAGATGGCGCAAGCAGCGTCTCTGCACCAATCAACTACGGAGAAAGTCAGATCTTCACCTGCAACACTGGTTTTAATCTTGTTGGACACAAGACACTGTCATGTGGCTCTACTGGAGTATTAAACGGCACATCTCCTCCCATTTGCCAAGGTAAAAGAGATACGAAAGCTGCGACATTTTCTAAATCCAGCCATGTGTCTAGTGGAACCATTTTAGTTCTGAGTATGGATTTATTTTGTTCAAACTCGGATGGTGAGCCAATATTCTAAGTAAAAAGAGAAAGGGCCAATAGCTTACTAGTTATGACTATAACTGTCCAACTGTCCAAGGTAACAAGGTAACAAGGTAACACGGTCTTATACAGTCAGATAGTGCGACAACAAGTCACACAACTGACAAGGATATTGAGACATTCGACGACCTGACACCTAGCTCCAACACATCTACGAAGCGCAAACCAACAACCTTCCAACTTGGAAGGCTCAGGCTCAGATCTTTCCGCACCTGAGCCTTCCAAGTTGGAAGGTTGTTGCTTTGCGCTTCGTAAATGTGTTGGAGCTAGGTGTCAGGCCATATGAAAACATAGGAGGGGAAGGTGAGCGCAACCAAGACAAGCACGAGCTGAAAATCTCAGCTGTGAAGGACGTTGGCAGATGTACATGCATGTCGATGACGATATTGGCAAGACCATTAAGCAATACGATACGGTGGACTAAGTATTCATATAACTTAGAACCTTCCGAGTTGGAAGGCTGTTGAAGTGCGCACCCAAGACGTGCTAGAGCTGATAGCCGGTTAGCTGTAGAACGTCGGTACCGTCGGTCAGTGTCGTGCAATGTTATCGCATGAGCTGATTGTTTAGTAACTGGTTGTGTTAACGGACATAATAGCGTACTTTGTAGTTCCTTGGTCCTTTTCTTTATTATAAATAATTTAATAATAGTGTCTAAGTAATCAGCGAGGAGACAACCATGTATTGGAACAAGGAGGACGAGCTGAAGTGACATTTTATATTGTTTTCGCTTCGTTTCCTTTGCTTAACATTGCAGTGCTGCCAACCTTTCGTATTTTTTCCGTATTTGCCCAGAAATCACTCCTGCATTAGCAGTACGGAATTTGAGCGAAATGGTATCGAAAATTGAAGAGGATAGATAGATCATCCACAGATATGTAGAAGTATTGTGAGCGCAAGTTGAGCGATGAATGTCCCTGTCAAAGCGAGTTCATGCCATGCTTCGACTACATGTGGCACAAAATATCATGTTGTGAACTCGTGCTACATGTCACACATGTTTTTCATTAGAAAATCCCGGCAGCCACCGAGAAGTATGTGAGTGTGAAAAAAAGCACACAATTCAAGCAATGCACGCGGCAGTACACTGGCAGTACGGAAAAACACTGCAAAATACGGAAAATCAGAAGCCGCAGTACGCAAAACAGACCCACGTGGCTCAGGTCAGGTGATTGCTACCAGACATGGCCCCCAGTAGTAGGCCTTGCCCGAGAATTGCTAGCAATTCTGCTATCAAAATATCGACGAATTTTGACGCGAGAATTTGCTGGCAAAATGCAGCAAAATATCGGTATGTTCGCTGGAAATTGGGAGATTTTGCACATATACGGTGCACTTGACTCATTTTCGCATATTTTGCCAATGCATGACTTACATTTTCTCATTTTTGCCAATGCATGACTTACTTTTTCTCATTTTTGCCAGCACATGACCCACTTTCGGTCATTTTTCCCACACGTGACACCAAGTATAGCCTCGCATTCGAGCAAATCGGAGCAAAATATCGAGTGGCCGGGCAAAATATTGGCGATGAGCCAGCAAAATTTTACGGCACAATATCGAAGCTTCACTGGCAAAATCCGGCTTGTAGCCACAGCCCCCAGTTAAAATAGCTCAGGTCATGTGACTGCTGCTATCCATGGCTCCCAGTCAAAATAGCTCAGGTCATGTGACTGCTGCTAACCATGGCTCCCAGTGAAGGTTCAATATTTTGCTGATGACTCATTGTCAATTTTTTTGCTTTCATTTTGCCAGGCCACTCGATATTTTGCTCCCTTTTCGCCCCAATGCGAGGCCAAATTTGTAACGTTATCACCCGTGGGAAAGCAGACTGAAAGTGGGTCGGTCAGGTGTTGGCAAAATGAGAAAAAGTGAGTCACGTGGTGACAAAAAAATGTGCGAAAATGGGTCACGTACTGCGCATAAGGATCACATCTCCAAATTTTCAACCAACATGCCAACTCTTGCTCCATTTTGCCAGCAATTTTTTCAAACATTCTTCGCTATTTTGTTAGCGGAATTACAATTGCTAGCAGAATCGGGCTATGCATAAATCCATAGCCCCAGTCAAAATTGCTCAGGTCATCTCACTGCTGCTATCCACGATCGTGTTTAAATCGGCACAAAACACCCCTAGCCAGAGTGGCCTGACTGCGATAAACACAGCCAGCTAAACACAGCCAGCTTTCACAGTCTAGTAGAATCCCTGCCAGCTACACATGTCTCATGCTACTCAGTTGTTGCATTACCGCCTTGGCAATTGCCAAGTCCTGCCTGGGAGCGGTTTTTCCAGCCGTGCTGCTACCCACAGTCAACTGAGAACTTGTGGCCAGGCACAAGGGGTACATGGATGCGGCTAATGGGGTCTTTCTCGGCACTTGTGCCAGTGGTTGTGAGACGTATCCACTCACCCCCACCGTTAGGCGCTGCATCTGCCGCTAGGGTTTACTGGGTGTTACCGGCTGTCGTGAGTTCCCTTCGGGAACTAGTCGTTTTAATTTCGTAAATTTCGTAAGGCTCCTGCCACTTACTAAATTAACACTCTTACTAAACGCTGTCATGTCGACTTGTTCAGTACTCTATGGACCTGCGTAGTAGCTCCCGATCGATGGCATTTCCGAATGTTTAAAAATAGTGTTGAGTCCGAAGAAGGACAACTGACGACATCTTCTCCAGAAATTACAACGGACAACGGGAACAGGTAGGTTGATGGGAACCACATTTATTTTAGACGACGAGACAAGAGGCCAAGACGAATGAAACAACTACATTGTGATTATTGAAGAGAGAGAGATCGACTGAGAAACAACGCAATATAAAGGGCCTGGGTAGCTATGGCAAACATGGGCGCGCAAGTAGCTACCCAGGCCAACGGAACGAAAGGTGAGTATGACGTAGTACGGGTGCATGCGCTGTGGCAAAGCAAATCCGCAACCTTAAGACCCGAAAGGCTGCGGGAGCGGACGGTATTTCTCATGAACTCCTGAAACTATTTTGTTCCAGTATTGCATACCCTCTCAGCATCATCTTTAACCTCACTTTTGCAACTGGTGCTTTCCCTGCTATTTGGAAACACGCAATTGTAACTCCGGTCTTTAAGAACAAGGGAAGTAAGCTCGATGCATCGAATTACCGCCCGATCTCGTTATTGTCAACAATCTCCAAGCTGTGTGAACGTATTATGTACAACCACTTATACACTTACCTGTCCCTTGTTCTACATCCGTCCCAGTCTGGATTCCGAAAAGGCGACTCTACGTCCTGGCAGCTTCTCAGACTTGTTCAATCGATGTCTTCTGTTCGTGAGAACGGCCATTACAGCATGCTATGTTTCTTTGATCTAAGCAAGGCCTTCGACACAGTATGGACACGCGGGCTCCTATACAAGCTGTCGCGCCATGGAATCATGGTACTTGCTTCACGTGGCTCAGTACTTACCTGACGGGCAGACAGCAAAGGGTGCGTGTCGGCTCTGCTCTGTCTGCCAAAGGGCATGTACGGTCTGGAGTTCCTCAGGGATCAATCCTGGGGCCTCTCCTCTTTCTTATGTATGTAAACGATCTGGCAGAAATGGATCACACATCACTATATGCTGATGATACAGCACTACTTGTGACAGCACCCACTCTCCCCGAGGCTAGTGCCAAGTTACAGTCCAACATAGATGGCGTTATTCATTGGATGGAAAAATGGAAATTGCAGCCCAACTCTTCGAAAACTGCTGTAATGTGTATCCCCCCCAGTTGTTCCTGTGACCTATCTTCATTAGTAACCAGTCCCTTCACCTTTCCAGGCACCACAACCCCGCTCTGCATCGTTGAAAAAAACAAGCATCTTGGCGTCATTATTGACCAACACTTAACCTGGAAATCCCAGATCGAACATTTAGACAGCCGTGTTAGCTCAGTAATGGGATTTCTCTCATCACACATCACCCACCTCAGGGGCGTACGCCGCTCGCCTCCAGGAGTGGTTCCCATGCCACCTGATGAACCAAAATTCCACACAAATTCAATTGAAGTGCTATTTTTCGTATCCCACGGCCGGAGTTTCTGCATCTTCTCCTCAGACTGGGTGAAATTAACATCCACAAGCTGCTGGACGATGTCATTGCTACGCACTTTTGATTTTACGTTTCATGGATGTTTTGTTCAGCATGACGATTGCATGCAGTTTTGAAAGCTGCCTACAAGTTTCGAATCATCTGGAGCAAACATCACACTGGGCAAGCAGAAGCCACCATTGCACGCCGGTCAAAAGACTACCCAGGGTAACTCCTCTAATAGCAAGGATAGTTGAAAGTGGCGCTGTTTCCCATCCGTCTGGACACGCACAGGAAATGAAATCCTTCGCCTTCGGTGGCGCACAATGATTATCGATGACGGAGATCTTTTCCGTGTCCGGCAAATTTCGGGGGACTGGATTCCACTGTGGACGTCGACGTTCAGAATATCCCTTCCAACACACTCCCATGTCACTAAAGTAAGTTTTGGATGATCCAGCAGCTTCCAACAGCGGTCGCTCTACAGCTTCGCCGACAATTTCTTCCGCAGCGCGGCTCGTTGCATGCAGACTTCGCTTGCAAGTCAGGTGCATCTGCATTCTCATCTAACGCTTGACCTTCGCCACTAGCACTGGCTACATGCTTTCGGCCTGCTGCTCAAAATAGCTCTGAATAGAGCTCCGGCCCTCTGGATGTCGACGCTTCATTTTTCTTTTCCACAAAAGCATCGTCCGAAACACGACCAACTTTGTCAAAACAAACTGCAAAGGAAAATTTGACTCTGAGATCGAGGAATCCGGCGATGTACCTAGTTGAACCCAGTTCAGTACGCTGTTACGACTTTCACACCTGGGCTACAGTCACCGTCCTCGGACCGTCAGGCGGACTCGCACTGCATGCACTTGCGCTGCTATAGCGCTAGTGCACTTGCACTGCGAGCGCTGGGCCTGGATCAAGAACTTCTCTGTACCCATATCGAAGTTTTTTTACTGGTTCCCGGGCATCCCGGGAACCGCCCTATGTACGCCCCTGCACCTCCACACCGACTGTCGCCATGTTATCTACACATCTTACATTCTGCCTATTTTTGATTACTGCTGCATAATTTGGGCTGGCATTTCTAAAACACTGATTGCTCGACTCGAAGTTATGCATGGGCGTCTTTTGAAAATATTATTTCGGCTTCCTCGCCTGACTCCAAGCGCAGACTTATACCGCCTTGCTTCTACTGTGCCGCTCTCGGTCCGCGTGCGTTTTTTGGCATGCCAGACAATTCATAATATTAAGCTGGGCATTGCTCCTCTTCATGCTCTCTCCTGCCTAAGCTGGTTTGCTCAATCTCAAGACTTGCGCACCAGAAACTCTCTCCGCTTCCCTATTGCGCGGTCCGCCTCTATGATAACATCTCCCCTCTTCCTTGCTTACCGCCATTGGTCTCTCCTCCCACAACATCTAAAATCCTGCCAATGTTACAATACATTCACACAGCTACTGCAGAATGCAACATAGTAGTTGATATCCAGCCCTGCCCTAGCTTCTCTTGCTTTTCAGTTCCCCTTTCATTCTTTTTTTTTCTCCCCTCTAGCTCTATTACCACCATGGCTGGCTATCGCCCACATCACCATTTCATCGGCTAGTGCCACGTGATTGTGAATAAATAATAAAAAAATAAATAAAAAATAATGCAGGCCAGCCAGCTTAGGAAAGGTTGCAGGTAAGATTGTTAGGGAGGAGGCACCTAACAATAGCTACGAAGTGCTCTTTTCCACAGTTTACGAATACTATTGGCTTGCGAAATATAATTGATATAGCAACAAGAATAACTGTTTGCACTGCAAGCATTTCCTAAATGGCGACATGTATGAGTGCACTGTTCCGACAAAGAAAGCGTTTACGTAGCACAATGCTCAGAATAGTTATCTGATAGGGCGTGTATCTCCGTCTACAATACCGTAAAGTAACCTTGTCAAGACGACCACTTGGATAAGGCAACCAACTGTCCCAGAAGACCACTGCAACCCCCGGATCAAGGGATGCTTTTACAAGTCAAATGGCCCTGGATAAGGAGACTGCCTGGTAACAGAGACCAGATATTGAAGGTCCCTTGAGCGGTCGCCTTAGATAGGTTCCACTGTATGTGTAGCCCACTCCGTCCTGCTGGACATGTACCATTGTGTCGAGTTCTTCTCCTCATTTTAGTTCATCATGCAGTGAGTCGAGTGTTCAATAGTAAAAAAAATAATAAATGAATAAATAAAAGTTGTAGAAAGGAAAAGGACATATGGATACGAGTTAAGAGTAACTCTCCATCACTGTAACTGGATACTATATACAGTCAGAAAGTGCAATAACTAGGCACAAAACTGACAAGAGTACTGAGACATTCGACGTCCTGACACCTAGCTTCACCACATCTCCGTAGCGCCAACCGACAGCCTTCCAACTTGGAAGGTTCAAGGTTATGGAAAAGACCAAAGAGGGGAAGGCAAGCGCAACGAAAACGAGCAAAAGCCACAGTCCCAGTGGAACAAAATAATGTCGAATGTTACTGGACGATGACGAGACCAGTACGATATTTGACAAAGCGGTCTAACTACAATTCGAAGCAGCAAAGCAGCACACCACTCAACTTGGGTGGGTCATAAATATCAAAGATAAGTAAAGAAAGGGGAAGCTTTGCGAAAACGAATTGTACAAGCCGAAAGCCAAACTCCTACAGTACTCCTCATGCATGACATTGTATCCATATGTCCTTTTCCTTTCTACAACATTTATTTATGGCTCAACATCCTAGAATAAATAAAAATATAAAAATAAAAAACTGAGGCAGGAGGCATAGAGATCACGCCGGGTATACCCAGCACAGACTATAGCGAGCGCAAATAAAGAAAATCTCTCGGTAGTAGTGAGAGTCACTGGGGCACTTAGCCAACACTACTCATAGACAGCCATTGATTTTTGTTTTTCTGCTGCTGATGCAGATGCTGCTGCTGCTGTTGCTGCTGCTGCTGCTGCTGATGCTGATGCTGATGCTTCTGCTGCTGCTGCTCCTTCTGCTGCTGCTGCTGCTGCTTCTGCTGCTGCTGGTTCTGCTGCTGCTGATGTTGATGCTGCTGCTGCTGATGCTGACACTGTTGATGCCTATACTGCAGCTGCTGATTAGGGCATTGTTGCTGCTGATATTTCTGATATTGCTGTTGCCTTTTTCCTGCAGATATTGCCGAATGCAGTGATGGTAGTCACAGCTGTAGTACCAATGCACAGTGCCAAGACACAGCTGGTTCATACACATGTATGTGTAAAAGTGGATACACCGGAAATGGCACAACTTGCAATGATATTGACGAATGTGCCAGTAAAAACCACAACTGCCACTCAGCGGCTTCATGTACAGACACTGATGGTTCATATACATGTATGTGTATTAGTGGTTACACAGGAAATGGCACAACGTGCAAGGATATCAATGAATGCAGTGATGGGACTCACACATGTAATACCAATGCACAGTGCCAAGACACTGATGGTTCATATACATGTATGTGCAATAGTGGTTACACAGGAAATGGCACAACTTGCAATGATATCAATGAATGTGTTGATGGAAGTCACACATGTAATACCAATGCACAGTGCCAAGACACTGATGGTTCATACACATGTATGTGCAATAGTGGATACATCGGAAATGGCACAACTTGCAATGATATCAATGAATGTGTTGATGGAAGTCACACATGTAATACCAATGCACAGTGCCAAGACACTGATGGTTCATACACATGTATGTGCAATAGTGGATACACAGGAAATGGCACAACTTGCAATGATATCAATGAATGTGTTGATGGAAGTCACACATGTAATACCAATGCACAGTGCCAAGACACTGATGGTTCATACACATGTATGTGCAATAGTGGATACACAGGAAATGGCATAACTTGCAATGATATCAATGAATGTGTTGATGGAAGTCACACATGTAATACCAATGCACAGTGCCAAGACACTGATGGTTCATACACATGTATGTGCAATAGTGGATACACCGGAAATGGCACAACTTGCAATGATATCAATGAATGTGTTGATGGAAGTCACACATGTAATACCAATGCACAGTGCCAAGACACTGATGGTTCATACACATGTATGTGCAATAGTGGATACACCGGAAATGGCGCAACTTGCAATGATATCAATGAATGTGTTGATGGAAGTCACACATGTAATACCAATGCACAGTGCCAAGACACTGATGGTTCATACACATGTATGTGCAATAGTGGATACACAGGAAATGGCACAACTTGCAATGATATCAATGAATGTGTTGATGGAAGTCACACATGTAATACCAATGCACAGTGCCAAGACACTGATGGTTCATACACATGTATGTGCAATAGTGGATACACAGGAAATGGCACAACTTGCAATGATATCAATGAATGTGTTGATGGAAGTCACACATGTAATACCAATGCACAGTGCCAAGACACTGATGGTTCACACACATGTATGTGCAATAGTGGATACACAGGAAATGGCACAACTTGCAATGATATCAATGAATGTGTTGATGGAAGTCACACATGTAATACCAATGCACAGTGCCAAGACACTGATGGTTCATACACATGTATGTGCAATAGTGGTTACACAGGAAATGGCACAACTTGCAATGATATCAATGAATGTGTTGATGGAAGTCACACATGTAATACCAATGCACAGTGCCAAGACACTGATGGTTCACACACATGTATGTGCAATAGTGGATACACCGGAAATGGCACAACTTGCAATGATATCAATGAATGTGTTGATGGAAGTCACACATGTAATACCAATGCACAGTGCCAAGACACTGATGGTTCATACACATGTATGTGCAATAGTGGATACACAGGAAATGGCACAACTTGCAATGATATCAATGAATGTGTTGATGGAAGTCACACATGTAATACCAATGCACAGTGCCAAGACACTGATGGTTCATACACATGTATGTGCAATAGTGGATACACAGGAAATGGCACAACTTGCAATGATATCAATGAATGTGCCAGTGGTATGAGTCATGGATGCAGTGCCAATGCTAATTGTAGTAACAATGCTGGTAGCTTCCAATGCACATGTAATACTGGATACAATGGAGACGGTAACATTTGCCGCAACGTCAATGAATGCTCTGACCCCGTTCTCCATGTTTGTCACGCAAACGCAACATGCAGTGACACGCCTGGTTCATACTTGTGTGCGTGCATTCAGGGATTCTCCGGCGACGGCGAACGCTGTGCTAACGAGGATGAATGCAGCATACTATCGCACCGCTGCCATCAGCACTCCAACTGCACTGACTTGTCGGGCTCCTACGCTTGCTCGTGTTTCCCGGGATATTCGGGAAACGGCACCCAGTGTGGCGAAATTGACGAGTGTGCAGGCTCGCTGCACGATTGTCATGGCAACGCCAGCTGTACAAACACCAATGGTTCGTTCAGATGCAACTGCCGCTCCGGTTTCTCCGGCAATGGGACGGCCTGCCGCAATGTGGACGAATGTTTGTCCACCGCCGCTCCGGGAGTGTGTCACAGGAATGCCAGCTGCTCCGATGTGATGGGCTCATACTTGTGTACGTGCGTCCAAGGCTACACGGGCAGTGGCTGGCAATGTGACAATATCGATGAATGTGCCGGCGCCAGTGGCGCTGATCACAATTGCCATGGGAACGCCACGTGCACCGACACGGCGGGCTCATTCGCGTGCGCGTGCGGCATCGGCTTCAGTGGTAACGGCACTGAGTGTTCGGACGTGGACGAGTGTGCCGGCGCGGGGCACAGTTGCCATGGCAACGCGCTGTGTCGCAACGCCGAGGGTGGCTACGTTTGCGAGTGTCGCGCGGGCTACTCTGGAAACGGCACCGCGTGCTGGAATGTGAACGAGTGCTTGATGTCAACTACCGCCACCGCCGCTACTGCTACTGCTAATGTTCCCATGGGCACTGCCCAGCCTGCAGGTCCTTGCCACCCCGATCAAGCCATGTGTAGGGATACCGACGGCTCGTACCACTGCCAGTGCCAGCCTGGATTCAGTGGTAACGGCGTGCAGTGCGCGAACGTGAACGAATGCGAGCTCGGCGTGCACACGTGCTCCGTCGGCAGGTTCTGCATTGACACCATGGGTGGGTACGGCTGCGGCTGCGTGCAAGGCGTCGTCGACAACGCTACCACCTGCGCAGGTATGTTGTAATGCAGTTACCGTTGCCAAGAGTGCATAAACACTTATCGTGCCTATCTGGGACTATAGTGGACTCTTGTATAAAAAAATTAAATAAAAAAATTCTCTTCCCTTCTAAAAAAAATTAAAAATAATAATAAAAAAACGAGAGTATGCAACTGTGGCTATGGGTCCGCGTGCGGCGCGCTGCCTTCATTACGTAACTTGCCTCCATCACGCTCTGAAAGCATGCATTCAAACCCACAATTTCTTGTACGAGCACATCCGTTTCTTGCTCGATTCGTTTCAGTACCTATGCGATCTCTAAATGTTGGCGTGTGAACTCCAGTTCCGTACGAAAGTTCATTTTAAACTAGAGGGAAAGTGTGGTGTTTGATTTTCCGCAGTGGAATGATATAACGAAGGCAGCGTGCCGCGCATCTGGCCCATAAAAAAAGAGATCAGAGTTGCGTAATCTTGTTTGTGGACTCTTGTCGTTACTCCACCTCGCTGGTTTTTTAAACTCAGCCACTTCTTAAGTAAAGACACACCTGGCAATAGTATGACCAGTCACCACCACACAAAGCTTGTCGACGCTGCAAATTTTATTCAAATGAAATCTCCAGATTTTCGCCCTTGGGGGCTTCATCAGGGCGAACATTTGGAAATATCATTTGAATAAAATTTGCAAAGTCAACGACCTTTGTGTGGTGGTGACTGACCATGATATGAATTGTCTGCAGTGGAGCCTCCGTGTTCTAAACAAACACCTGGCATTATGGCAGTAAATAGATGCCTGCCCAGTGCCCACACACATACACTCTCTGTGCCAGAACTTTGCAACCTAGAGAGTGTGTGTGGACAGGCATCTATTTACCGCCATATTGCCAGTTGTGTCTTTAACCCTTTGCATGCTGAGCCCCTTTTCTCCAATCCACTGGCCGTCCAGCGCACTGACTCTCTTGGTGGAGTATGCACTCACAGCTCCGAACGAAATTTATTCTGATTTTACTCAACCTCAACCTCAACCTCACCGTTTAGGAGCTGCATCTGCGCCTTGATCCAAGAGGGTGGTGGCGTTCCTGCGGATGCGGAAAACTGGGCCTTTGGCCGAGTCTCACGCGAACCGTGAAATTTTTTTTTTTTTTTTTACTCAACCTAGATGGATTTTCATCGTCCTGGGCTCGTTGGAAAGATCAGGACCAAGCGAATCCATCCTGGCAGCTCTCAGCTCCATAGATACATCAGGGCCACATCCACGTCCTCTCCAAATTACTCCACCGTGCCTCGGAACGGCACAACAACTCAATTTCACATTCTTGTTCGGCTTCTTGCCCAAATTCAACAGATTTTCACAATTCAAACTGCGCTGCAAAGCTCAGATCCAAGCGCTTCATTTGATGTCCATCACGCATGCGCCGTGCCAAAAGGGAAATCCCCTGGCACGCTTTGCAACAAAAAGAAGTAATGAACAAAAAAATTCGCGTTCACTCTGGGCCCTGATTTCCGTGTTCATCTTGTCGCCGCTCAATGTTATCTTATCGCGAATACCTTTATACCCCCGGAAAGATGAGGTCAAGATCTTTCCAACGGTGTATTGAATAGAGAGGTTTTGCATTCCGAATTTCGGAATGATTTTCGACTGTGCTTTTCCGAAAAAAGCGCGTTCCGAAAAACGGTATTTTCAGTGTTTTGCATTCCGAAAATCTGATTCGACGTTTCCAAGGGTTGCCATGCAAAACAAAATGGAGAGCGTCGAAGGGGTTTGAGCAGGATCAAATCCATGTGCGCAGGTCAAACTGAATTTGGGTGCGGTTCGAAGACGAGGACGGACTGATGGGGGACCAAGTGATCCAACAGCTGAAGACGAGGTTGGCGAACTACTGTCTTGTACTGTTAGTAGGCTCCAGGGCAAAGGAAGATAGAGTGTGATGAAGTGTGAGAAGATTAGTCAACATGGCGAGATCAGCGAGAGCAGCAAAACCAGCAAAAATCAAAACTACATACGTGGAAATTTTTTCAAATAATCGAGAGCAGCAGAATGCCAGAAAGCAAAAATACAAACATGAAAAATACACTTTTTTGTATTCAAATATGCACTCCCAAACATGAAAGAGCCGAAAATCCATTTTCGGAAAACCATGCACTTTCGCCACCACACTTCCGAAAGTTCGACTACTTTTTCGACTGCTGCCGCCACATTCCGAAAATAATTCCGAAATTCGGAATGCAAAACCTCTCTATTGTCGCGATGCGTTTATGTTTGACGAAGTTACGAAAGTTTGTACACTGGTCTATGCACTGCGATACAGCGCGCGAATTTTTGCGAGTTAACTCGTACGTAGTGGATCAGGTCATGCATAAAGTGCGAGTTAACTCGTACTCAGCACGCAAAGGGTTAATTAACACCATATTTATCAACCATCAGTATGGCTGCAGTGGTGTCTTCAACTTCATCCTCACTTCTTAAGTAGGCAGCAAATTATCTCTGAAAACACTGATGCAATAAGTGGACCCACATGCAGTTGGAAAGGACCTTTGTGGATCATACAATATATGCCTGGGAGTAGTGATGTAATTTAGAATTGAGTAAGACTGGCGAGAGTTCCTGTAGCTTCACATGTACAGGACGTGCAGTAGAGCGGAATGAAAAATTGAAAAATAGGGATTCACTGGCCAGAAAAAAGCCTTATTCGATCAGCTGTGTGGTGTTGACCAGGCTAAAATTAGTGGCGGTCAATTCATCAGTCTTGCAAGCTGTTGACTGGTGTACGAGTACTCCCAGCACAAGTTGTCATGTCTAACATAGCTGTTGACTGGTGAACTAGTAATCCCAGCACAAGTTGCCATGTCTAACATAGCTGTTGACTGGTGAACTAGTAATCCCAGCGCAAGTTGTCATTTCTAACATAGCTGTTGACTGGTGAACTAGTAATCCCAGCACAAGTTGTCATTTCTAACATAGCTGTTGACTGGTGAACTAGTAATCCCAGCACAAGTTGTCATGTCTAACATAGCTGTTGACTGGTGAACTAGTAATCCCAGCACAAGTTGCCATGTCTAACATAGCTGGTCGGGCATGTGTACCTGTACAGTGGGCACCAAAATATCCGGCCAATGCCATGGATACGGCAGTATGGTATGGGTTCACCTGTTCACCGGCGCTACTTCATCGTTCATGGCGGCATGCTGGCATGCATGCATTCACAGCAGGGAGTCGCAGACTACGACTCTCTGATTTCAGGCTGGATTTCTCCGGCCAGCACTGTATTTTGCTGCATGTACATGTAGCCTTTGCCTCGGCCAAAAACAGACATCAATGGACACAGTTTCACTCACAGATGCGTAGAGCTCAATTCTGAGTAAGAGCTGTTCTTCTCCTTTTAAAAAACTCAGATGTTTATCCAATAGTCTTATGTAAAGAGAAAATGACTGGTGGATTGTTTGGGCCAGGTTCCACTGCGGCCCCGCTGCCCTGCGGCACTTGCCTGCATGCAGCGGAGCAGCGCGGTTATAGGCGATTCACACGACAGGCAAATCCACATTTGCCAAGTGCCCGCAGGAAGTGAAACGTGAGGCCGCAGTTCACACGGCCGCGGGTGGCGGCCAGAGCTCCCGCGAGTATCCGGTGAGGATACGGCGTTACTGTGGTGATTTGGAATGAGTACCCAAAAACAAAGGCCAAACAACCAGGGTTCAAGACTACCGTACCATAGTACGACCTCACAGCCTCATAACTGTAAAAGTGTCCGCAGATGAGTGCATCCGCGGGCAAAAAGGCCATGGACACTTTTGATTCCCGCGGGCAAATTTTGGTCACCCGCAGGAATATCTCCATGGTGACTTTCCTGTAAACGTGGATTTGCCTGTCGTGTGAATCGCCTATAACACTGACACTCGCCATTCGCAGTGCCGCGGCTGTGCTCGACGTTGTTTTGATGACGTTTTACCTGCCTGCGCGTGCCCATGCAAAATCGAAAAAATCCTCGTATTCTGGCCTGCGCAACAAATTAAAATTTGAATCATTTCAAAATTCTCTCGTCTAAACAATGCAAAGTATGGGACACAGCAGTCGTGGCTCCCAGTTTTTGGTCAAGAATTGTAGCAAAAGCTTGTGGTGAGCTGCGGCCTCGCTGCACCAGGTCGAGCCGCAGTCAATATAGTAATGATGACGTTTCAAGCTGCGGATGACGTGCAGCGGAGCAGCGGAGCTGCAGTGGAACCAGGCCCTTAGTCATAACTAGTAACTTATAGGTCATTTTCTCTTTATATGTTCTTCTTCTTGTTCTTAAAAACCATGTACATGTATGTGTGTGTGTCCAACCTGTCGGAAGGCTACCCTCTTGCCAAAGCGTTTTTGGAAGTTGGACTAGTTTCGGCTCCACAATCCAGTGTGTCGTTACTATAATAGCTTTCATGGCTGAGGTTGTTGGTACGTCTGTTGGCCCTGGGTTCCCAGTACCCAGTTGCCGAGGCTGGTTGGTAAAATAACTCCAATTTCACTTCAAGGTACCAGTGCATCTAGTGTCTGCTTTTATCAAAGCAGCGTGCTGTCTATACTGGTTACCCCAGCAAGTGTAGGGTGTGCATAGGTAACTGTCTTGGCCGTTTTATGCCGATGTACTCCGTGTGGTGTAGACCAGGTGTGCATTGGGGGGTCGATTCACATGGCTTTGCCAGTTGTGTGGATTAGACAGTTATCTCGCGCTTGTCTTGATCTGTTTCAATCAGAATCAGATCCGCTATCGTTGCTATAAAGAGAAAATCTGTGGGTGCACATCCAGTGCATTTGCAGATTTGCGTGCTTCTCTTGCGACGGGCGTATACATGGTACATGGTACATGGTGTGTGTGTGTGTGTGTGTGTATGTGTGTGTGTGTATGTGTGTGTATGTGTGTGTATGTGTGTGTGTGTGTGTATGGTGTGTGTGTGCGTGTGTGTGTGTGTGTGTGTGTGTGCGCGTGCGTGTGTGCGTGTGCGTGTGTTTCCCCAGGTTCGCAAAACACAGGAAAGAATTCTGGCTCGGCGTCGGTGCGGCAACCGCTGATCATCGCCGCTGGAGCAGCTCTGTTGATTATCATTGTCATTGCCTTCTTCGCCTTCAACAGACGCAAGGCTAAGAGCCGTGGCCTTGGCAATCTGGATGGACCTGGCGTTGGCGTTGGTGGAGGTCCTGCAAGCTCCTCTCATAGGGGCAGCAAAGTGGACGAGAAAACGCTGAAAATCATCGGCAATAGGTAATTGCAAACGGTTGCAGCGTATGTGTTGCTTTGCTGGCGGTGTGCTGTGACCAGGCCCAGAGTCAGCTTCTGAGGGGTGGTTTGGCCCCAAGTTGGCCTCAGGACCGATTATTTCCCCCATGTCCAATTTCAAAATCCTGGGAGGATACATCTCTAGCGCTGTGCATCATATGTTCATTACATACTTCAAAATAATCATGCTGAGCAACCCATGAACACTGGAATTGGTAAAAACTGGTACGGCCATGACCGCACCAGTTTTTACCAGTGGCGCCGGCCCTGGCTGTGGCAACATGTCGAGGTCGGCTGGACAGCGCAGGTGTGGTGTGGTGGTTGAAGGCAATCCGTCAGTGACAGGGCTGAATGCTCCTGCCAGGCGCGTGCCCCGTATGGGTACCCGGAACTCCCCCTTTTTTGCTCAAAATGCAGGATTTTGCTTCATTTTTTGAAAAATTCCCGGGGAAGCCTCCCTGAAGGGCACCGGCGCACGCGCCTGCCTGCTTACCTCCATTTTATTGCATTCCTGCTAGAAGTATCCATGCCGCGTACGGATCAGAGTGAGAGGGAGAGTGAGTGAGTGAGAGGGCGAGGGTGTGGGTGAGTGAGTGTGTGAGCGAGCGAGTGTGTGAGGGAGCGAGTGTGTGAGCGAGCCAGTGTGTAGGTCAGTGAGTGAGTGAGTGAGTGAGTGAGTGAGTGTGTGGGTGAGTGAGTGAGTGAGTGAGTGTGTTGGTGAGCGAGCCAGTGTGTGGGTGAGTGAGCGAGTGTGTGAGCCAGCCAGTATGTGGGTGATTGAGCGAGCGAGTGTGTGAGCGAGCCAGTGTGTGGGTGAGTGAGTGAGTGAGTGGGTGAGAGAGTGAGCGAGTCAGTGAGTGAGTGAGTGAGTGAGTGAAGGAGGAGGTAAGGAGTGACTGTGAGAGGGAGAGATAGGGAGAGACAAATAGAGAGACAAATAGAGACACAAATAGAGAGATAAAGAGTGGGAGGAGTCATACTGCAGATCTTGTGGAATAGCCTGTCTACCTCCTTTTGTCGCTGAGTTCCGCACATCAGTTGGCCATTACATTACAATCGGACTCTCAATCCTTCCACCATGCAGCCTCAGCTGATCCACATGGATTGGATTGGTTTATTTGATGTCGAAGAACAAACATGCAGTGTTGCCTTATGACATGAGATCGACTACACATCCCTTGCTCATCATCATCACAGCAACGGAAATTCCATTGAGGCCCTTTCTCGCACCCCATGCAATGGTCCAGCAATCCACACTGCCTGTATCACCTTTGTTGAAACTTTTTTGAATGAATTTTTCAAAGAACCACACACCATTTGACAACACACAAAGCAGCCAAGCAGCGAGGAGACATACTCTATGGAATGACGACTTTTACCTTTAACTTGTGTGTGTGTGTGTGTGTGTGTGTGTATCTAATACTGTCTATGTGTGTTTGTGTGTGTGTGTGTCTAATATGTGTTTGTGTTTGTGTGTGTGCGTGTGTGTGTGTGTGTACGTGTGTGTGTTTATGTGTGTTTGTGCATGTGTGTGTGTGTGTGTGTGTGTTTGTGTGTGTGTCTAATATGTGTGTGTGTGTTTGTACGTGTGTGTACGTGTGTGTGTGTTTATGTGTGTGCATGTGTGTGTGTGTGTGTGTGTGTGTGTGTGTGTGTGTGTGTGTGCGCGCGCGTGTGCGTGTGTACGATGTGTGATGCATAATGCATGCACATGTGCATGTGGGTGTGTATACGTGTGCGCATGTCTGCATGCGCTTGTGCGTACGCACTGCCACTCTCACATGCAGTGTTCACTACTGGCATGCCAGCGACAATGAAGGCAAAGCAGAGAGCTGCAACACACCCACGCAGAAGACGCCTCTCAAGTATTCGGCGAGCGGATTCAGCGCGGCCGGCAGCGACACGGACAGCGAGAGCCAGATCGTACAGGGCCGCAAGAACACGTTCAGCATGCCCGATGTCTTCAGCTCCGCCGTCAAACAGAGCAACAGCAGGATGCTGTCCAGCAGCAGTCAATGGGGCGGCGACATGGACGCCACCCAGGAATACCCTACGGACATACCGGAGCTGCTGCTTGACCCAGACAACTTCAGCCTACCCGGCGGAGCTGCGCTGGCAGACTCCTACATGAATATGGAACCCGCCGCAAAGAAGGATCTTGAAAATCGCCACTCTGTTCTGACGTGTTCCGATTCGCTGCCCTTCTATGACCAGGCTCCCTCGCACGGCAACTGCAAACGCAGCACTACGGACAACAAGTCGCAGCTGCGGTGCGAAAACCATTACGGCAGCCTGAGCGCTCTGCGCCGAGATCAACCGTTTGCCACCGACACCGGCAACAAACACTACTACTCGAATGTGAGCAACCAGCACGGTGGCAACCCGGGGTCATCCTCATCCCCATGGCAACCAGACATTGACTCCTCCATGACGAAGATGAAGCAAGCGGAGGGTGAGGAAATGGCCAGCGCCGGTGGTGTTGGTCTTGGTGGTCGTCGCCACATGACTATCTGCGGTGTATCCGAAGTCCACGGTCAGGTGACTGGGACTGGTAATGAACCACGCTATGCCAAGGGCTTCAGACGTAAGCAGGCACGCAACTCAGCTCCCGACGGCTCTGAGAGCAACGCCGGATACTCGCGACCGCGGCCACGGAGCAAAACATCATCGGCAGGGAGCTCCAAGGGCCTGAGTGACTCGCTGTCCGACCAAGCTCTCAGCGGCCTGCCTCCCGGCAGCGACGATTGCTACTCGGCAGTTCATAAGAAGCCACTGACCAACAGGCAGTCGGGCGGAAACCGCAGAGAGAGCAGCGATTCATCAGTAGCAAAGCAGATCTACGCCACGCCAAACACCAAGAGGCACTCACTGGGCGCCCCTCACTCCGTTCTCACGAGCATCAGCGCGGATCTCGAATCCGTAGACCAGACCCTCGCCGGTATCCAGCACAGCGCAGAAGAGGGAGCATTGTCTGCATCGCCGATCAGTATCCGTACCCTAGGCAACCAGAGCATCTGCCAGAGCAATCCGGGAAATCCCGTGTTTGTCTTCGAAGATCAGAGCAGCAATCGCGACGAGACGCTGCAGTCGGGAGGAGGAGGAGGAGCGGAGGAGGGCCGTCGCGACCGAATACCGTCACTTGGCTACGAGGATATGCACGCTAGTACAGGGAGACCCGAACAGTTGACCACCAATGGAGAGGCATCAAACGTCCCAGCAGGGACGGCACTCCACCAGAAGAAACAGCAACGCATGCATCAGCAGCAGCAGCAAAAGCATGACTCGAGTGTGCTCCACCCTGAGCTTGTGGCAAAGGGCCTTCTCCAGCATGACGCCGGCAGTTTTCCATCGGATTTTTACGACAGCGTCATGGACGACAACCTATCGGTAAAGGTCAGAACTGCACCTGTTGCCACTCTGCACACTGGTGGCATTGGCAATCAGCTGTTCTATGATTCCATCACTTCCAAGATGGTGCAGTACGCCAACACGGAGTCGCGAGCGCCGGACGCCACCAGTGACACCTGCACCTATTCGGATGCGCTGGAACGAAATGACACGTGCGGAACGTATAGCAGCGAGTACGATCACGTCTCAGGCGGACAGATGTATGACCATGCTGACGGACGGAGCAATCATTCCGGCCAGCAAGCATACGATCACGCTGAAGGAGGCGACGGCCATGGTCAACTCAGTGCCGATGAACATGCCTACGATCATGCCGATGGACACAGCGAAGTGACTGCCCCCGGCACCACCAGCAGCCGCCTTGCCGTGCATAAGGGTACTGGCCAGTCTCAAGCGGGGATTGTGTCCGGAAGAAAATCAGATGCCATGATGTCAGTTGCCAGCATGGACCAGCACCAGCAGAAGCAGCAGCAGCAGCACCATCAGAAGCAAGAGCAACGCAGCCCCGCCAAAGCTTCCACCAGCGATCGCTTTGTCCAAATGGCTGCTGAGGACAATATGTATGACAGCATACAGCAGCCGAAGCACAATCGCGACGAGAAGTTTTCATCTGTCACCCTGCACCAGGAGGATACGTATACCGAACTGCCGGCATGGGTGACCACACGAAATACCGACAACACCAATCAGCAACAGCAGCACCAGAAACAACGGCAGCAGCAGCAGCGTCACCAGAAGCAAGAAGGCAACAAGAGCCAGTTTGGAACGCAGAACAGTCTGACTAAGAGTAAGGCATCCGGGCTCAAGCGCTTGATCAAGAAAGGCATGGGCGGAACGGTGGACAATGATGTGGTCATCACCTCCAGTAGCTCCGACACCAGTATAGATCGGCTACCGGAGTACGCGACGTTCTCCGGTCAGCACGGCACCCGCAGCGGCCACAGTCCACGTTCGCAGACCAACAGCAGACTCCCGTCAGCATCGTCGGGTTCGCTGTCCAGCAGGCAGGCCACCGGCAGCATTGGAGCGGCAGTGGCTGCAGCTCCCACCAGCGCATACGACGACCTGTATGGCAAGCGAATGGGCGGCGGCGATGGCAAA